TCACACCAGCACCTCAGTCATCCACTGCCACTGTGTCTGGTCACTCCAGCACCTCAGTCATCCACTGTCACTGTGTCTGGTCACACCAGCACCTCAGTCATCCGCTGTCACTGTGTCTGGTCACACCAGCACCTCAGTCATCCGCTGTCACTGTGTCTGGTCACTCCAGCACCTCAGTCATCCGCTGTCACTGTGTCTGGTCACACCAGCACCTCAGTCATCCACTGTCACTGTGTCTGGTCACTCAGTCATCCACTGTCACTGTGTCTGGTCACTCCAGCACCTCAGTCATCCACTGTCACTGTGTCTGGTCACACCAGCACCTCAGTCATCCACTGCCACTGTGTCTGGTCACTCCTGCACCTCAGTCATCCACTGTCACTGTGTCTGGTCACTCCAGCACCTCAGTCATCCACTGCCACTGTGTCTGGTCACTCCAGCACCTCAGTCATCCACTGCCACTGTGTCTGGTCACACCAGCACCTCAGTCATCCGCTGTCACTGTGTCTGGTCACTCCAGTACCTCAGTCATCCACTGCCACTGTGTCTGGTCACTCCAGCACCTCAGTCATCCACTGTCACTGTGTCTGGTCACACCAGCACCTCAGTCATCCACTGCCACTGTGTCTGGTCACTCCAGCACCTCAGTCATCCACTGCCACTGTGTCTGGTCACTCCAGCACCTCAGTCATCCGCTGCCACTGTGTCTGGTCACACCAGCACCTCAGTCATCCACTGTCACTGTGTCTGGTCACTCAGTCATCCACTGTCACTGTGTCTGGTCACTCCAGCACCTCAGTCATCCGCTGTCACTGTGTCTGGTCACACCAGCACCTCAGTCATCCACTGCCACTGTGTCTGGTCACTCAGTCATCCACTGTCACTGTGTCTGGTCACTCCAGCACCTCAGTCATCCGCTGTCACTGTGTCTGGTCACACCAGCACCTCAGTCATCCACTGTCACTGTGTCTGGTCACTCAGTCATCCGCTGTCACTGTGTCTGGTCACTCCAGTACCTCAGTCATCCGCTGTCACTGTGTCTGGTCACACCAGCACCTCAGTCATCCACTGTCACTGTGTCTGGTCACTCCAGCACCTCAGTCATCCACTGCCACTGTGTCTGGTCACACCAGCACCTCAGTCATCCACTGCCACTGTGTCTGATCACTCCAGCACCTCAGTCATCCACTGCCACTGTGTCTGGTCACTCCAGCACCTCAGTCATCCACTGCCACTGTGTCTGGTCACTCCAGCACCTCAGTCATCCACTGCCACTGTGTCTGGTCACACTAGCACCTCAGTCATCCGCTGTCACTGTGTCTGGTCACACCAGCACCTCAGTCATCCACTGCCACTGTGTCTGGTCACTCCAGCACCTCAGTCATCCACTGTCACTGTGTCTGGTCACATTAGCACCTCAGTCATCCGCTGTCACTGTGTCTGGTCACACCAGCACCTCAGTCATCCGCTGTCACTGTGTCTGGTCACTCCAGCACCTCAGTCATCCGCTGTCACTGTGTCTGGTCACACCAGCACCTCAGTCATCCACTGTCACTGTGTCTGGTCACTCAGTCATCCACTGTCACTGTGTCTGGTCACTCCAGCACCTCAGTCATCCACTGTCACTGTGTCTGGTCACACCAGCACCTCAGTCATCCACTGCCACTGTGTCTGGTCACTCCTGCACCTCAGTCATCCACTGTCACTGTGTCTGGTCACTCCAGCACCTCAGTCATCCACTGCCACTGTGTCTGGTCACTCCAGCACCTCAGTCATCCACTGCCACTGTGTCTGGTCACACCAGCACCTCAGTCATCCGCTGTCACTGTGTCTGGTCACTCCAGTACCTCAGTCATCCACTGCCACTGTGTCTGGTCACTCCAGCACCTCAGTCATCCACTGTCACTGTGTCTGGTCACACCAGCACCTCAGTCATCCACTGCCACTGTGTCTGGTCACTCCAGCACCTCAGTCATCCACTGCCACTGTGTCTGGTCACTCCAGCACCTCAGTCATCCGCTGCCACTGTGTCTGGTCACACCAGCACCTCAGTCATCCACTGTCACTGTGTCTGGTCACTCAGTCATCCACTGTCACTGTGTCTGGTCACTCCAGCACCTCAGTCATCCGCTGTCATTGTGTCTGGTCACACCAGCACCTCAGTCATCCACTGCCACTGTGTCTGGTCACTCAGTCATCCACTGTCACTGTGTCTGGTCACTCCAGCACCTCAGTCATCCGCTGTCACTGTGTCTGGTCACACCAGCACCTCAGTCATCCACTGTCACTGTGTCTGGTCACTCAGTCATCCGCTGTCACTGTGTCTGGTCACTCCAGTACCTCAGTCATCCGCTGTCACTGTGTCTGGTCACACCAGCACCTCAGTCATCCACTGTCACTGTGTCTGGTCACTCCAGCACCTCAGTCATCCACTGTCACTGTGTCTGGTCACACCAGCACCTCAGTCATCCACTGCCACTGTGTCTGGTCACTCCAGCACCTCAGTCATCCGCTGTCACTGTGTCTGGTCACTCCAGCACCTCAGTCATCCGCTGTCACTGTGTCTGGTCACACCAGCACCTCAGTCATCCGCTGCCACTGTGTCTGGTCACTCCAGCACCTCAGTCATCCACTGTCACTGTGTCTGGTCACTCCAGCACCTCAGTCATCCACTGTCACTGTGTCTGGTCACACCAGCACCTCAGTCATCAACTGTCACTGTGTCTGGTCACTCCAGCACCTCAGTCATCCACTGTCACTGTGTCTGGTCACTCCAGCACCTCAGTCATCCACTGCCACTGTGTCTGGTCACTCCAGCACCTCAGTCATCCACTGCCACTGTGTCTGGTCACACCAGCACCTCAGTCATCCACTGCCACTGTGTCTGGTCACTCCAGCACCTCAGTCATCCACTGCCACTGTGTCTGGTCACACCAGCACCTCAGTCATCCACTGCCACTGTGTCTGGTCACTCCAGCACCTCAGTCATCCACTGCCACTGTGTCTGGTCACACCAGCACCTCAGTCATCCACTGCCACTGTGTCTGGTCACTCCAGCACCTCAGTCATCCACTGCCACTGTGTCTGGTCACTCCAGCACCTCAGTCATCCGCTGTCACTGTGTCTGGTCACACCAGCACCTCAGTCATCCACTGTCACTGTGTCTGGTCACTCCAGCACCTCAGTCATCCGCTGTCACTGTGTCTGGTCACTCCAGCACCTCAGTCATCCGCTGTCACTGTGTCTGGTCACTCCAGCACCTCAGTCATCCACTGTCACTGTGTCTGGTCACTCCAGCACCTCAGTCATCCACTGTCACTGTGTCTGGTCACTCCAGCACCTCAGTCATCCACTGTCACTGTGTCTGGTCACTCCAGCACCTCAGCCATCCACTGTCACTGTGTCTGGTCATTCCAGCACCTCAGTCATCCACTGTCACTGTGTCTGGTCACACCAGCACCTCAGTCATCCACTGTCACTGTGTCTGGTCACACCAGCACCTCAGTCATCCACTGTCACTGTGTCTGGTCACACCAGCACCTCAGTCATCCACTGCCACTGTGTCTGGTCACTCCAGCACCTCAGTCATCCACTGCCACTGTGTCTGGTCACACCAGCACCTCAGTCATCCACTGTCACTGTGTCTGGTCACACCAGCACCTCAGTCATCCACTGTCACTGTGTCTGGTCACTCCAGCACCTCAGTCATCCACTGTCACTGTCTGGTCACACCAGCACCTCAGTCATCCGCTGTCACTGTGTCTGGTCACACCAGCACCTCAGTCATCCACTGTCACTCTGTCTGGTCACTCCAGCACCTCAGTCATCCACTGCCACTGACCGCCACTGACCGCCACTACCGCCACTACCGCCACTGTTATTATATACTGATCATGAACACATAAACATTCTTGAGAAACCAACCCATACATGATACTGAACAAATAGGGTGAGGGATCATTAATATTTTTGGGGATACTTTATGAAATTGTGTGCAGTCTTCAGCATGTACACTGAACAAAATATACCCAAAACTATTCATGATCCCTAACTATTTTTGTTCACTTTATCTGTGGGTTGTTTTCTTAAAAATGGCAAGTTTGTGTCTTTCATTTATCCAGAGACCATAGAATTTAACATTGTGTCCAGAGTTTAGCGTTTTCACTGATATTTGGTAAGGCAAGTTGCAGCAGTTTCTTTCCAAAATGAATCAAATATTTAGCAAAAACCCAGAAACCGAGAATTAATAGTTTGCTTCCATTATCTAGTTGGGAGGACAACTATTGTCATCTATTGTTAGTGTTCACTGATAGCAAATACACATAATATACATTGACTAAAACAGAACATGCTGACAAGAAAGTACCTGTTTCACTGAAAACCATCTGACCGCACACTAACACTAGCTATAATTACAGTAAACTAGGGTTACAACGGACTCAAAGGGACAACTAATTTTAGTTCGTTCTAACTGTAGATCGTTTTAAGCATTTTAACTATCAGACTCATTTTCTAGTTGTCCCATTTTATACACAGAATATGGGGTGTGGGGGGGGGGGGGGGGGGGGGTGTGAGTCCCATCCAGGTGAGACATCTTATCGCCAGCACACAATGGTGTAGATCTACCCCACTCCGCCACCGAGGCTTCCACAAAAATGAAAGTCTGACAACTGGTAGTCTAACATTGTTACATTTGTCCAGGACAAAAAAACAGTTTGTCATAAGCGAGTTCATTATAAACATAGTTTATATAAACTGTATATTATTATGAAGATTTATCTGTCTTGCCAAAGGATTGACACGAACTGAGTTACCATGTTAACAGAGGCTGGCCTGTTCTTTCCTTTATCAGAAAATACTCATGGTCAGCCACCTGTCATGAATGTGTGGTGTTGACTGGTGAACAAGTTGTAGTTTGTCAATTCACAGTCAGAGTATATATAAATATGTGATGTGTATCATGTACTACAGCCATGGTAACCTGTGTTCCTGTCTTCCAGATTGCTGTTCTCGATGTGGACATATGTGGACCCTCCATTCCAAGAATCATGGGCCTGGAAGGAGAGCAGGTCAGGGCCTGGTACTTATACATTCAGCAAAGATCACGGTGCCGTTGTACAGAGCAATCTTAGCGCTAAGGCGATCTTAACTCCCATACCTTAACACAGACTTCCGACAATTGTAGCACTTTAATCACTTTGTAGCGTGCGGCCCAGTCCCACACACTCCCTGCCAGCGCTGTAGAGGTCCCTTAACACAGACTTATGACAATTGTAGCACTATAATCACTTTGTAGCGTGCGGCCCAGTCCCACACACTCCCTGCCAGCGCTGTAGAGGTCCCTTAACACAGACTTATGACAATTGTAGCACTATAATCACTTTGTAGCGTGCGGCCCAGTCCCACACACTCCCTGCCAGCCCTGTAGAGGTCCCTTAACACAGACTTATGACAATTGTAGCACTATAATCACTTTGTAGCGTGCGGCCCAGTCCCACACACTCCCTGCCAGCGCTGTAGAGGTCCCTTAACTCAGACTTATGACAATTGTAGCACTATAATCACTTTGTAGCAAGGCCCAGTCCCACACACTCCCTGCCAGCGCTGTAGAGGTCCCTTAACTCAGACTTATGACAATTGTAGCACTATAATCACTTTGTAGCAAGGCCCAGTCCCACACACTCCCTGCCAGCGCTGTAGAGGTCCCTTAACACAGACTTACGACAATTGTAGCACTATAATCACTTTGTAGCGTGCGGCCCAGTCCCACACACTCCCTGCCAGCGCTGTAGAGGTCCCTTAACACAGACTTACGACAATTGTAGCACTATAATCACTTTGTAGCAAGGCCCAGTCCCACACACTCCCTGCCAGCGCTGTAGAGGTCCCTTAACACAGACTTACGACAATTGTAGCACTATAATCACTTTGTAGCAAGGCCCAGTCCCACACACTCCCTGCCAGCCCTGTAGAGGTCCCTTAACACAGACTTATGACAATTGTAGCACTATAATCACTTTGTAGCAAGGCCCAGTCCCACACACTCCCTGCCAGCCCTGTAGAGGTCCCTTAACACAGACTTATGACAATTGTAGCACTATAATCACTTTGTAGCAAGGCCCAGTCCCACACACTCCCTGCCAGCCCTGTAGAGGTCCCTTAACACAGACTTATGACAATTGTAGCACTATAATCACTTTGTAGCAAGGCCCAGTCCCATACACTCCCTGCCAGCGCTGTAGAGGTCCCTTAACACAGACTTACGACAATTGTAGCACTATAATCACTTTGTAGCAAGGCCCAGTCCCACACACTCCCTGCCAGCGCTGTAGAGGTCCCTTAACACAGACTTACGACAATTGTAGCACTATAATCACTTTGTAGCGTGCGGCCCAGTCCCACACACTCCCTGCCAGCGCTGTAGAGGTCCCTTAACTCAGACTTATGACAATTGTAGCACTATAATCACTTTGTAGCAAGGCCCAGTCCCATACACTCCCTGCCAGCGCTGTAGAGGTCCCTTAACTCAGACTTATGACAATTGTAGCACTATAATCACTTTGTAGCGTGCGGCCCAGTCCCACACACTCCCTGCCAGCGCTGTAGAGGTCCCTTAACACAGACTTACAACAATTGTAGCACTATAATCACTTTGTAGCGTGCGGCCCAGTCCCACACACTCCCTGCCAGCGCTGTAGAGGTCCCTTAACACAGACTTACGACAATTGTAGCACTATAATCACTTTGTAGCAAGGCCCAGTCCCACACACTCCCTGCCAGCGCTGTAGAGGTCCCTTAACACAGACTTACGACAATTGTAGCACTATAATCACTTTGTAGCAAGGCCCAGTCCCACACACTCCCTGCCAGCCCTGTAGAGGTCCCTTAACACAGACTTATGACAATTGTAGCACTATAATCACTTTGTAGCAAGGCCCAGTCCCACACACTCCCTGCCAGCCCTGTAGAGGTCCCTTAACACAGACTTATGACAATTGTAGCACTATAATCACTTTGTAGCAAGGCCCAGTCCCACACACTCCCTGCCAGCCCTGTAGAGGTCCCTTAACACAGACTTATGACAATTGTAGCACTATAATCACTTTGTAGCAAGGCCCAGTCCCATACACTCCCTGCCAGCGCTGTAGAGGTCCCTTAACACAGACTTACGACAATTGTAGCACTATAATCACTTTGTAGCAAGGCCCAGTCCCACACACTCCCTGCCAGCGCTGTAGAGGTCCCTTAACACAGACTTACGACAATTGTAGCACTATAATCACTTTGTAGCGTGCGGCCCAGTCCCACACACTCCCTGCCAGCGCTGTAGAGGTCCCTTAACTCAGACTTATGACAATTGTAGCACTATAATCACTTTGTAGCAAGGCCCAGTCCCATACACTCCCTGCCAGCGCTGTAGAGGTCCCTTAACTCAGACTTATGACAATTGTAGCACTATAATCACTTTGTAGCGTGCGGCCCAGTCCCACACACTCCCTGCCAGCGCTGTAGAGGTCCCTTAACACAGACTTACAACAATTGTAGCACTATAATCACTTTGTAGCGTGCGGCCCAGTCCCACACACTCCCTGCCAGCGCTGTAGAGGTCCCTTAACACAGACTTACGACAATTGTAGCACTATAATCACTTTGTAGCAAGGCCCAGTCCCATACACTCCCTGCCAGCGCTGTAGAGGTCCCTTAACACAGACTTACGACAATTGTAGCACTATAATCACTTTGTAGCAAGGCCCAGTCCCACACACTCCCTGCCAGCGCTGTAGAGGTCCCTTAACACAGACTTACGACAATTGTAGCACTATAATCACTTTGTAGCGTGCGGCCCAGTCCCACACACTCCCTGCCAGCGCTGTAGAGGTCCCTTAACTCAGACTTATGACAATTGTAGCACTATAATCACTTTGTAGCAAGGCCCAGTCCCATACACTCCCTGCCAGCGCTGTAGAGGTCCCTTAACTCAGACTTATGACAATTGTAGCACTATAATCACTTTGTAGCGTGCGGCCCAGTCCCACACACTCCCTGCCAGCGCTGTAGAGGTCCCTTAACACAGACTTACAACAATTGTAGCACTATAATCACTTTGTAGCGTGCGGCCCAGTCCCACACACTCCCTGCCAGCGCTGTAGAGGTCCCTTAACACAGACTTACGACAATTGTAGCACTATAATCACTTTGTAGCAAGGCCCAGTCCCACACACTCCCTGCCAGCCCTGTAGAGGTCCCTTAACACAGACTTACGACAATTGTAGCACTATAATCACTTTGTAGCAAGGCCCAGTCCCACACACTCCCTGCCAGCCCTGTAGAGGTCCCTTAACACAGACTTATGACAATTGTAGCACTATAATCACTTTGTAGCAAGGCCCAGTCCCACACACTCCCTGCCAGCCCTGTAGAGGTCCCTTAACACAGACTTATGACAATTGTAGCACTATAATCACTTTGTAGCAAGGCCCAGTCCCACACACTCCCTGCCAGCCCTGTAGAGGTCCCTTAACACAGACTTATGACAATTGTAGCACTATAATCACTTTGTAGCAAGGCCCAGTCCCATACACTCCCTGCCAGCGCTGTAGAGGTCCCTTAACACAGACTTACGACAATTGTAGCACTATAATCACTTTGTAGCAAGGCCCAGTCCCACACACTCCCTGCCAGCGCTGTAGAGGTCCCTTAACACAGACTTACGACAATTGTAGCACTATAATCACTTTGTAGCAAGGCCCAGTCCCATACACTCCATGCCAGCGCTGTAGAGGTCCCTTAACACAGACTTACGACAATTGTAGCACTATAATCACTTTGTAGCAAGGCCCAGTCCCACACACTCCCTGCCAGCGCTGTAGAGGTCCCGGGACAGAACAGATCCCGTGTACCATCTGCACACCATGCTTGTCAGTACCGGTACAGACCTGTGAACATCCGGGGTAGAATAGGTCTTCACAACCCATGGTTGTGACCCGTGAACATCCGGGGTAGAATAGGTCTTCACAACCCATGCTTGTGACCCGTGAACATCCGGGGTAGAATAGGTCTTCAACCCATGCTTGTGACCCGTGAACATCCGGGGTAGAATAGGTCTTCACAACCCATGCTTGTGACCCGTGAACATCCGGGGTAGAATAGGTCTTCAACCCATGCTTGTGACCCGTGAACATCCGGGGTAGAATAGGTCTTCACAACCCATGGTTGCCGTAAAAGGCGACAATGCTTGTCGTAAGATCTGACTAGCGGGATCGGATGGTCAGGCTCGCTGACTTGGTTGATGCATGTCATCTATCTCAAACGCATGGATCAAGTCAACAAACAAACAAACAAACGGTACTGGTATACCTACTGATGAGAATCAGGGCCCATTCTACAGAGTGATTGTACCACTAAGGCAATCGTAACTCTCATATTTTAACATATACTTACAACAGTTATTATGCTAAGATCACTTTGTAGCGTGCGGCCCAGTCACATACACACCCTGCTTCCCCTGGAGGGTCCCTTAGCAGAACAGATCCCCTTTACCATCAGCTCTCCATGCTTGTCAATACTGGTATACCTACTAATGAGATTCAGGGTCCTGTTGCACCTGGTGAGATTAGCTCGATGACACTGTATCAGAGTATGAGAATTACGGTCTTGTTAGTGCTGAGATCACTCTGTGGCATGTGGCCCTGGTGGCTCAAATCTAATGAAATTTGGTGTGTGTGCAGTTGTATTTGGGCTCTTCATAGATATATTCAATATTTTTGTTGTTGCCTTTTGCACATTGACCATGCTCCTAAACTCACTTGAACTGCGTTTCCTCACACTGTAAACATCTGAATCTCTTCAGAAACCATTTCCCTGATGAGTCTGAAACTTCCTGTGCTTGTTCCAAACAGTAATAATACCTGAATTTGTTCCAGAGGTTCAAATAGGATTTTCAATATGGCCACCATGACAGCCATATTCAAAAGTCTAATTATGGCCATTACACTGACATGTTTGTTGTTTAGTTTGTTGTGGGATTCAGCATACATGTTCTGTTGTTTCTGAAAAATTTGATCTTGTATTCACCATTCTCTGAACGTGCTTTAAGCCTCTGAGAAAGCATATTTGGTTCTTTATACTTTTTCTCCTCTGATTTTGAGGGAGATGAACTTTGGCCTGCATGTTTCTTCGTATGACATATTTTGTTCAAATCATGGTTTAAGTTTTTCATAGTGCCGTATTGGCCATATTAATACTGTTTTAATGAAGGCCCTCATGTTACCTCATTCTGTAACCATGGTAACTGATTTTGTGATGTTTCCAGGTTCATCAGAGTGGGTCCGGATGGTCACCAGTGGTAAGTGACTGCATGCACTTCTCACTCTCACTGACCGCCTCCGTGGTCTAGTGTTAGAGCGTCCGCCCGGAGAGCGGAAGATTCTGTCCCCGGCCACGTCATACCAAAAGACGTTAAATGGCTCGGCATTAGTATAGGGGCTAAAACAAGGATTGGCCGGTTTTGAGTCAGTATACTGTGTCTGAGTGGGGTATTCCTGTTAAAACTGCGGCATGGTATCTCAGTGGACTAGCACTATAAAATTGGCATTAGTCTGGACTGGTACAAACAGCCAAACGCACACATGTGCATGCACGTCGCTATGTAAGTGCAATTTTCTTGGATGCAATGTTAAACCGCATTTCACCTCACTTCTCACACTTATTAGCACATATGCAAAACCGAGACAAAGGCCTGTTAATATCTTTAGTTGTTGGGGGTACCTACCTCTTGCCAACAAGTTCACTTCATTTGCCCTAATTTCTTGAATGTTTAAAGATAACTTATGACAAGGACCCCTTGAATTTATATTTTTTTTTTACTGCTTTTTGTTAGAAATGCAGAAAATGTTGATTTTTAAAATTACGGATTGAAACATGTTAACATATTGTAGCGTATAAATGTGTGATAATGAACAGTCAGTACATGGACCAGCAGTCAGAGTGGTTAAACTTCCACCCATAAGCTTTGTAACCCTTGCCTCAAAATTAAAAAAAAATCATAACCACTGGCTAGAAGTATACTGATGGAAACAAATAAGGGAACACTGAAAATGTAGGGGACTTTGCTTTACTGTCAGTTCATTTGAATCACGTGTTGAGGTGTGTTTGTGTGCATTGTTTCCAGTGCGTATTTAGTAAACAAGGATGCGAACCTATGATAGCATATCATTTTACTGTGTCTAAGACTAAGTGTTACCTTATTCATTTCAATCAATCAATTAAAAAAATTAGTTATGTAATGCTTAAACATGTTAAACATGTGGAACAAGCGAATTTACAAATATTAAAAAGTTTGGTTTGGTTAGGTTAGGTTAGGGGTTAGGCGTTAGGTTAGGTTAGGTTAGGTGAGGTTAGGTTAGGTTAGGTTAGGTTAGGTTAGGTTAGGCGTTAGGGGTTAGGCGTTAGGGGTTAGGCGTTAGGGGTTAGGCGCTAGGTTAGGTTAGTTTAGGTTAGGGGTTGGGTTGGGTTGGGTTGGGTTGGGTTGGGTTGGGTTGGGGTGGGGTATGGTAGGGTAGGTTAGGTTAGGTTAACTTTGGAGCAGGGGTTTCAATCAAAGTATCTGTCACTTGCCAGGATTAGAACATAGTTGTGTTGTTTTCAGTGTTACATAGGATGGATGTGTAACAAGAAAATTGATGACATATTCTACTACCTAATGACAAATGTACAATATGAGACAAAATAAAGTAATCTATGAGTTAAGAAGGATTAAACAGACTGTTATTGGGCAAAGATACTGATGAACTAAGTAGTAATAATACTGACAATCACATCTACCCACCAGGGATAACGAACCATTAAACATTGATGAGGAAGTGAGTGAGGGTGTTCTGTTGCCTAGTATCCAAGTACCTATGGTGCTGTGAGCTGGGTATACACTCAGTCACCCATGTTAGTCGACCGTCTTGCAGCCGTGCAGCCAAATGCAAAGAAGCTGTCTCCTCCTTGATAGACAATACAGAATAGATGTTATGTGTGTCTAGGGACTTCCATCTGGAATATTGTCTTGTTTTATAGTAAGAGTGGCTTCATGACTTTCATCAATAATTCCAGGTCGGTTCAGTTTCTAGGATGCTGATTGATTGCAGGCTGCAACTTTATCCACTAGTCAGAGTAAAATTCTGTTGTGTCTTGTTAATCTGAGCTAATATTAGTCCACATGATGGCACTCTGTTATACCATAAATGATGTTAAGAGCTCAATTCGAGCTAGTCGTCTCAAACGTTTTACCACAGTATGATTGTTATTCAAAATAAAAAAATTCAAATTTGGTCATAATATGTATCTAAGAATGTCGGACTAGGAGTTGACAAAATCCTTCAAATGTCCTAATTTGATTTTGTTCTGAAGCCAAATCACCAATGTCATTAATAACATCGCTTTGTCCTACATCTGTGGGTTGGAAACTTTCATTTATCATGTTTTGGACGTCTCTGAAAACAACATTGCACAGAGTCTGTTGATATTGATGAAACTCCATCTTGGCAAGGATGATCTGGCAGCATGCAACAACTTCTGATATGATTTCAACATCTCAATTTAAACCACAAATCCTGGTAATAACTACAGATTTGTCAAGATATGCTACATCGTTTGTAAATTTCTGCATTGATAATGTTTTAATTTTGGGGTATCTAAACACTAATTCCAATTAGTGTGTGTTTGTTGTTTAACGCCACACTCAGCAATATTCCAGCTATATGATTAAGAAAATTCAGTGATTGACATCATAAGCATCGATCCAATCAGATATGTAGATATTAAATAAGCATGTTTTGCATGTAGTTATTAACATTACATCGTCAATGACTTTACAATTAAAACGGAATAACTTAATGAAGGAGTTAAATCAGGGTTTGGGGACGTGTCAGTACAAGATATTCTCACATGTCACAGACATACACATTATTTATTCAGTATCTTCACAGATTTCAGATATTCATAAAATATACATACTTTGCTGGGAAAGTAAATGGCAGTTTGAAAATAGCATGGGGATAGAAATTCATTTTTTTCAAGTGTTCCTTAGGGCACTCATATTTTTTAGGTGTGCCTCAAACAATTTAATTGTGCTAAAGTTTATCATGATGATAGCCAATGTATTACTGTCTCTGATTACTGCTCTGTGGCAATACTGTAAATGTAATATTAAATCAAGTCATCCTGTTCTTGTTGTTAATAATGCCCTTTTTATTTCGGATTTTCCTGGTTTTATGGAAGCAGCGTACTGCACACTGCATGCTGCCTTGTGTTCGGCAGTGACCTTATGACAATGTATTTACTTGTTATGAAACCCCTTGAGCCTGTTACAAAAGAGTTTTGTTGACGTCCAAATTCCTGGCATATTTTGCAAAATATGATGTCTTATTTCTATCACAAATGGGCCAAGATTATTATTTGAGGGTGGCCGGCTTGACAGTATTCATTACTTCAAACTCTTCAAGGCCGGCTCCCCTGTCCCCATCATTATCAATCTCATTAAAATCAGATATTAGTTCTCGCTACAGCTAAACAAAGATCTGAGGACATCCCATTACGGGTCACGTCAGAACGACCTTTCTTCCGACCGATCAGAGCATCGCTTACCAGATTATGAAAGTGACAGTCGGAATGTGATTTCTGATCATGCAAATTCGAAAAGTTAACGATAGTTACGGGTTTAACGACCGAATCCATAAAATCTAGACTATCTAATCTATTAGCCATTCCAGGATGTTCTTTTGTACAGGTTTCAAATCTGTAATCGAGAATTTGTCAAAATATGTTTCGAAGCAAGCGTAGTCGCCAATTTGAAATTAGTGCCTCAAAGCACAAGAAAGCTGCCTTCTGATTGGTCATTCCATTGGTCGGTCAAAGGTTGCGCAAGGTCGGTCTGACGTGACCCGTAATGTGATGTCCTCAGGTCTTTGTTGAGCTGTAGCGAGAACTAAGATGTGATTTTAATGAGATTGCATCATTATTAGTATTTTTTGCAAATGGATTATTTGTTTGTTCATGTTTTTTCCCATATTTATCAGAAACTTTGTGAAAAAAAGTTATTAATTTTTTTACTTGTTGCCTTGTTTGTCTGAAAATTGAAAATTGAAAATATCAATATTATTTGTAGCCGTAATCATATTTGTGTGCTTCTAGGCTGTCAGACAATGCCCATTCCACAATGCACTGTTTCCCATCATGAGCAATAGAAACAAACATGGCCACACCCACAGAAGTTAATATAGTAGCAAGGGAAACGATATACTCAATGTAAATAAGCAATCAAATAAATACTGTAAATTAATCTTTGAAAAAGAGAAGTGATATATTTGTCACATATGCCTGAAATTGTAGGCGTGCTTTAAGGGCACTTGGGGTTTGTTTCAACCCTGGGATTGGCACACTTGAAAGTATACATTTCAAACTCTGCAACATATACACAGAGAGTTACAAACAGAGGTTATATTAGACAGTGTTCGGAAAGGAAAATATTGTTTAGAGGTTTTTATTCGTTAAATTGTCTTTTGAATAATATGGAGGAGCCAGAGAATGTCATAGTGAGTGAGTTTGGTTTTACACCGCTTTTAGAAATATTCCAGCAATATCACGGCGTTGGGACACCAGAAATGAGCTTGCACATTGTAACCATGTTGGGAATCAAACCAGGGTCTTCTACGTGACGAGCTAAGGATTTAACTACTAGATTATCCGACCACCCCAGAGAATGTCCTAAAGACTGCCTCCGTGGTCCAGTGGTAGTCTGTGGTTCGATCCCCAGCCACGTCATACCAATAGATGTTTTTAAAAGATGGTTCTTCTTGTTACCCTGTCTGGCGCTCAGCATTAAGGGGCTAAAACAGGGACTGGTCGGCTTGGAGTCTGTATACTGTGTCTGAGTGGGGTATTCATGTTAAACTGCGACATGGTATCTCAGTGTGTGGTAAATGTCTGAGACCTGCATCACTTAGGGATTTCCGCCCACATTAAGGTGACATGCCTTGATATAACAGGAATACTCTTCAAAGGGATGTCAAACCCAACTTACTCACTCACTCACTCTTACAGACCAGGGATGCATCTACACCTGCACAGAGGCCAATATTCAGCACTAATTGGCTACAAATGTCAGTAGGCATTCCCAAATTGAAATAAAAATAGTTCCCAACTCATAATATTCAACTAATGTTATGGCCTAGTGGTTAAGGCATTTGCTATAATGGGTATTAAACCATACTCACTCACTCACTCACTCAATGCATCAAAATTATGTATTTTGTGTCGTCTTTTAATATAATTAAGGAAACACAGACCTTAATAATTATTAGTTGTTTAGTTCCGTGGTTGAAACAACCAGGAATATACATTCTACTGGGACATTTTAGATTCTTGCATTCTGATTGCACTTTCCTGTTTGGTTTGAAATTGAAAACACACAAGTTTTATCTCGTAAGAAATGCATGTTTTTTGTCTGTTTTTCCTCCAGTATGTGAGTGACAACTTGGCTGTGATGTCCGTGGGCTTCCTGCTGGCCGGGCCGGAAGATGCTGTCATCTGGCGGGGGCCAAAGAAAAATGGTGACCTTGGTTACTTGACTGATCTTTAAGATTTGGAGTGTTGTAGTGTATGCTGTAATAGCTCAATGTAAACTGCTTAACAGTTTTCGCACTATCCATGTCCGGTGCTAGCGGTCGTAGACATAGTTGGTTTTAGCGGGAGCAGTCTTTTGACATATACCATGGGAATTCAGCGACCCATTTTTGAAAAATGTCAGTTGACTTACTGAACATACTGAGCATGATCAGTGTCAGAAGTAGGCACTAGTCCTGTAGTCCTTGCCAAACTCCCCACTAGTTAAGGGATCATAAGGACTGGCAGAAATATGCCCTTTTTAAGGGTTTGCTATATGTCATCATTACAAGGACTAGTGGACGAAAACTGATAGTTTCTAATGCTAATGATAGATAACCATTGCTTGTAATAAACATTTGGTGGTGAGATGACGATTGGTAAGTTGGTGATAGTTTCAGTGGTCCGGAGTGAACATTGTTGATCAGTTTTAGCAATACATCTCTTTATGCCATGGAAATGTTTATGAGATGGAAAAACTGTGACAATGTTGCTGCAACGTTGATTGGTGTATGTATTGATTCACCGCTAGTTCTTTCATCTGTAAGTGGCTGTAAGAATGAGTTTAATATTGTTTAATTCACAGCTGGTGTGACTGACACAGATTGAGTTTGACCAGTTCGTTACTCCATTTGGAGTGAATTTGTATAGCTGTTAATTTGTTATATAGAATATATTTTTCAGCAGAACTTTATATGATAATATATTTGTTTGTTTGTTTTTTAACACCACACTCAGCAATATTCCAGCTACATGATGACAATCTGTAAAGAAACGAGTCTGGACCAGAAAATCCAATGATTCAAATCATAAACATCAATCTCTGCAATTTGGATGTGAAGACATGACAGATATTTACACTAAAACAGTTGGGACTTTTGAAAATGTTTGTTATAACTTGAGTATGTTATATCCATGTTTGTTATAACAATGTTCTACTTTGTAAGGTGCCTGCTTTGTTTGTTGTAACAAGGAAATATTTCTACTTCAGGTATGATCAAGCAGTTCCTGCGAGACGTTGACTGGGGTGAGATTGACTACCTAGTGATTGACACTCCCCCTGGGACATCAGACGAGCACCTGTCTGTTGTACAGTACCTCAGTGAGACGAACGTAGATGGCGCCGTGCTGCTCACCACTCCTCAGGTGAGATCTGGAACTCGATTCGGGTAACATTTATTTAAGAAGTAAACAACCATGAGTTGATTTTAATTATGATGACTCCCTGAATAGAATCAAAGCTCGGACAAGTCCATTTTATGAACAGGTGGGTTAACTTTGGTATTTCCCACATATTCTCACAATCCTCACATCGTTTATCTGTATCTTTTCTCCTAATACTGATTGTCATATTCCTCCCACATTTGGATGTGATTGTTTGGCCATTGGGTTCATCTGCGTTGTCCAGCTACATCTATGGGGAACAACTCAGTCGGTCGGGATTAGAGGTTTATTCAGTTCCCCGGTGATTATCGATCCTGGCCGCATCGTCAGATCATACTGAAACATGTTCAGAGATGGTACTTGTTGTTACCCTCCCTCTTTGGCGTTCAGCATTAAGGTGCTAAACCAAGGACTGGTCAGAGTCATGGAGTCAGTATTCTTTGTCTTCTGAGTGGGGTATCCATGTTGAACTGTGCCATTGTATCTCAGTGGGCTAGCTCTATCAAACCAGCATTATTCCGGATGAGTACAAACAGACACAACATACACATGCTATATAAGATCAGTAATCTTGAAAGTGATGTTAAACATGAATTGTCTGACCTCACCTTCAAAGGTGTTTATTCAATGTCTGGTTTTGCTCCAGGAAGTATCTCTGATGGATGTGCGGAAGGAGATCAACTTCTGTCACAAGGTCAAACTGCCCATTATTGGGCTGGTGGAGAACATGAGTGGATTTGTCTGTCCGAGCTGCACGGTATGTTGTCCCACTATCATTAATGTCTTGTTGAAATTGAAATAACGTGGAGCTATTTTCCTTATTAGATAATAGTTATAAGTTATAAGCATCATTAACAAGAATAAGAATAATTCAATTTAGTTACTGACAATATTGGGACACTTTCATTTTAGTTGTGGTGCATAATATCTTGACAATATCTCATTTCAGTTGTTAGAACATGCTTATAAACCTGTGATTTCTTTATTAAAAACTTCAAAAAGTTCATATGTTCTTCTTGGCAGAGATGCTTTGCTGCCTTCAATTAGGGAGCGTGCATGTGAGAAGGGAGATAACTCTTTGTAAATGTAAAATCTTTAACTAGTAATGTAGTTGGCACCAGCATCAAATGTTTATGTATTATCATAATTATGATATCATTTCCTATTCTCCTTAAATGCAAAAGCATGTTGCCATGGTTACTATTCATAAATTGGATAAAGACTTGAGGGACTGACCATTTGATTTTATCGAAAAAAATAATTGGCCCCAAAAATTCTTGAATAAAATAATTATGCTTCAGACTGTTGAAAAAAAGAGAAATAGCCTGTCACAAACATTACATTGTTGCAAGGTGTTTTTCTTAAAAAATATTCAGGCTCATAGTTTCATAATGATAAAAATATCTGGTTTTGTTGGTGCAGCTGAAAAACTATCTGATCTCGATACAAAATCTGAAAGTATATGTCAGTTTCAAGTTGTATTTGGACAGTATGTTGTTTGATACGTTAATACCGTGTAGTGAGTTATGTTGATAATTTTACCAGAAATCCTCTGAGATCTTTGCCCCCACCACTGGAGGAGGAGAGAAGATGGCCCAGGAGACTTGCATCCCCTTCCTGGGGAAACTGCCCCTCGACCCTCGCATAGGTAGGTACAGGAGTGCACAGCCAGTCTGTCCGGGAATCCACTGGGGACGTGTGGAAGAATCGACTTCAATATGTTTTTTGCATTTCTGGAGGTATAAATATGATAAATGTAAAAAAAATTGGTGTGCAAATTGTGGCACATACGTCATGGAATCACAAGCAGCTTATTTGTTATGATATGAGATGAATGTATGTATGTTTGTTTGCTTGTTTGTTTGTTGTTTAACGCCACACTCAGCAATATTCCAGCTATATGATGGCGGTCTGTAAATAATCAAGTCTGGACCAGACAATCCAATGATCGACATCATGAGCATCGACCCACGCAATTGGGATATGATGACATGCATCAACCAAGTCAGAGAGCCTGACCACCCAATCCCGTTAGTCACCTTTAAAGCAAGCATGGGTTGCTGAAGACCTATTCTACCCTGGATCTTTATGGGTCTGAATGTATGTGGTATGGTGTTGCTTGTCTACAACTGCACATAGTACACTGTATTGCGCAAATAATTTCTGTCACATTTGTTTGGCAATGAAATATCATACCACCTCACTGGTTAACAAGTCACAAAAGAAAATTAACTTAATGAATTTGGTTAAGTGAAATCAATTGTCGGGCAGCTGAAAAAGTTAACTGCTTGTCCTTGTACATTGTTTTACAGCAAATGCTTCCTTTCTTGTGTAAGCCAGTCATACTGGCACATGCATGCATAATATTATGGGGTCTGAATCTGTTGTTCTCTGGTCTTTGTTATGTTCATTGCAACATGGAATGTGACATTTTGTCCTGACTTATTTTAGATGCCAATTTTACCTCAGATTAAATCTGTGTATTCTGTTGTCCCCAGGTAAATGTTGTGACGAGGGCAAGTCATTCCTGGAAGAGGTTCCCGATTCCCCGGCTACCCTGGCCTTCTCACAGATTGTACAGAGTAGGTACCAGCAATAATGTCACAGATAGGTACACCAATACTGTCAAGTAGGTACACCAACAATACTGTCAAGTAGGTACACCAACAATACTGTTAAGTAGGTACACCAACAATACTGTCAAGTAGGTACACCAACAATACTGTTAAGTAGGTACACCAACAATACTGTTAAGTAGGTACACCAACAATACTGTTAAGTAGGTACACCAACAATACTGTTAAGTAGGTACACCAACAATACTGTCAAGTAGGTACACCAACAATACTGTCAAGTAGGTACACCAACAATACTGTTAAGTAGGTACACCAACAATACTGTCAAAGATAGGTACACCATCAATACCATCACAGATAGGTGCACCAACAATACTGTCATGTAGGTACACCAACAATACTGTTAAGTAGGTACACCAACAATACTGTCAAGTAGGTACACCAACAATACTGTTAAGTAGGTACACCAACAATACTGTCAAAGATAGGTACACCATCAATACCATCACAGATAGGTGCACCAACAATACTGTCAAGTAGGTACACCAACAATACTGTTAAGTAGGTACACCAACAATACTGTCAAGTAGGTACACCAACAATACTGTTAAGTAGGTACACCAACAATACTGTTAAGTAGGTACACCAACAATACTGTTAAGTAGGTACACCAACAATACTGTCAAAGATAGGTACACCATCAATACCATCACAGATAGGTGCACCAACAATACTGTCAAGTAGGTACACCAACAATACTGTTAAGTAGGTACACCAACAATACTGTCAAGTAGGTGCACCATCAATACCATCACAGATAGGTGCACCAACAATACTGTCAAGTAGGTACACCAACAATACTGTCAAGTAGGTGCACCAACAATACTGTCAAGTAGGTACACCAACAATACTGTCAAGTAGGTACACCAACAATACTGTCAAGTAGGTACACCAACAATGCTGTCAAGTAGGTACACCAACAATACTGTCAAGTAGGTACACCAACAATACTGTCAAGTAGGTGCACCAACAATACTGTCAAGTAGGTACACCATCAATACTGTCAAGTAGGTACACCAACAATACTGTCAAGTAGGTACACCATCAATACTGTCAAGTAGGTACACCATCAATACTGTCAAGTAGGTACACAAACAATACTGTCAAGTAGGTACACCAACAATACTGTCAAGTAGGTACACCAACAATACTGTCGAGTGGGTACACCAACAATACTGTCAAAGATAGGTACACCATCAATACTGTTAAGTAGGTACACCAACAATACTGTCACAGATTGTGTAGTACACCAACAATACTGTTAAGTAGGTACACCAACAATACTGTCAAGTAGGTGCACCAACAATACTGTCAAGTAGGTTCACCAACAATACTGTCACAGATTGTGTAGTACACCAACAATACTGTTAAGTAGGTACACCAACAATACTGTCACAGATTGTGTAGTACACCAACAATACTGTTAAGTAGGTACACCATCAATACTGTCAAGAAGGTACACCAACAATACTGTTAAGTAGGTGCACCAACAATACTGTCACAGATTGTGTAGTACACCAACAATACTGTTAAGTAGGTACACCATCAATACTGTCAAGAAGGTACACCAACAATACTGTTAAGTAGGTGCACCAACAATACTGTCACAGATTGTGTAGTACACCAACAATACTGTTAAGTAGGTACACCAACAATACTGTCACAGATTGTGTAGTACACCAACAATACTGTTAAGTAGGTACACCATCAATACTGTCAAGAAGGTACACCAACAATACTGTCAAGTAGGTACACCAACAATACTGTTAAGTAGGTACACCAACAATACTGTCAAGTAGGTGCACCAACAATACTGTCAAGTAGGTACACCAACAATACTGTTAAGTAGGTACACCATCAATACTGTCGAGTGGGTACACCAACAATACTGTCAAAGATAGGTACACCATCAATCCTGTCGAGTGGGTGCACCAACAATACTGTCAAGTAGGTGCACCAAGAATACTGTCAAGTAGGTGCACCATCAATACTGTCAAGTAGGTACACCAACAATACTGTCATGTAGGTACACCAACAATACTGTCAAGTAGGTGCACCAAGAATACTGTCAAGTAGGTGCACCAACAATACTTTCAAGTAGGTGCACCAAGAATACTGTCAAGTAGGTACACCAAGAATACTGTCAAGTAGGTACACCAACAATACTGTCAAGTAGGTACACCAACAATACCATCACAGATAGGTGCACCAACAATACTGTCAAGTAGGTGCACCAACAATACCATCACAGATAGGTGCACCATCAATACTGTCAAGTAGGTACACCAACAATACTTTCAAGTAGGTACACCAACAATACTGTCAAGAAGGTGCACCATCAATACTGTCAAGTAGGTACACCAACAATACTGTCAAGTAGGTACACCAACAATACTGTCAAGTAGGTGCACCAACAATACTGTCAAGTAGGTGCACCAACAATACTGTCAAGTAGGTGCACCAACAATACTGTCAAGTAGGTACACCATCAATACTGTCAAGTAGGTGCACCAACAATACTGTCAAGTAGGTACACCAACAATACTGTCAAGTAGGTACACCAACAATACTGTCAAGTAGGTGCACCAACAATACTGTCATGTAGGTACACCATCAATACTGTCAAGTAGGTACACCAACAATACTGTCAAGTAGGTACACCATCAATACTGTCAAGTAGGTACACCAACAATACTGTCAAGTAGGTACACCAACAATACTGTCAAGTAGGTACACCAACAATACTGTCAAGTAGGTACACCAACAATACTGTCAAGTAGGTGCACCAACAATACCAGCACAGATAGGTGCACCAACAATACTGTCAAGTAGGTACACCAACAATACTGTCAAGTAGGTACACCATCAATACTGTCAAGTAGGTACACCAACAATACTGTCAAGTAGGTACACCAACAATACTGTCAAGTAGGTGCACCAACAATACCAGCACAGATAGGTGCACCAACAATACTGTCAAGTAGGTACACCAACAATACTGTCAAGTAGGTGCACCAACAATACTGTCAAGTAGGTACACCATCAATACTGTCAAGTAGGTGCACCAACAATACTGTCAAGTAGGTGCACCAAGAATACTGTCAAGTAAGTGCACCAACAATACTTTCAAGTAGGTGCACCAACAATACTGTCAAGTAGGTGCACCAACAATACTGTCAAGTAGGTGCACCAACAATACTGTCAAGTAGGTGCACCATCAATACTGTCAAGTAGGTGCACCAACAATACTGTCAAGTAGGTGCACCAACAATACTTTCAAGTAGGTGCACCAAGAATACTGTCAAGTAGGTGCACCAACAATACTGTCAAGTAGGTGCACCAACAATACTGTCAAGTAGGTACACCATCAATACTGTCAAGTAGGTGCACCAAGAATACTGTCAAGTAGGTGCACCAACAATACTTTCAAGTAGGTGCACCAAGAATACTCTCAAGTAGGTGCACCAACAATACTGTCAAGTAGGTACACCAACAATACTGTCAAGTAGGTACACCATCAATACTGTCAAGTAGGTACACCAACAATACTGTCAAGTAGGTACACCATCAATACTGTCAAGTAGGTACACCAACAATACTGTCAAGTAGGTACACCAACAATACTGTCAAGTAGGTACACCAACAATACTGTCAAGTAGGTGCACCAACAATACTGTCAAGTAGGTGCACCAACAATACCATCACAGATAGGTGCACCAACAATACTGTCAAGTAGGTACACCAACAATACTGTCAAGTAGGTACACCATCAATACTGTCAAGTAGGTACACCAACAATACTGTCAAGTAGGTACACCAACAATACTGTCAAGTAGGTGCACCAACAATACCAGCACAGATAGGTGCACCAACAATACTGTCAAGTAGGTACACCAACAATACTGTCAAGTAGGTGCACCAACAATACTGTCAAGTAGGTACACCAACAATACTGTCAAGTAGGTATACCAACAATACTGTCAAGTAGGTGCACCAACAATACTGTCAAGTAGGTACACCAACAATACTGTCAAGTAGGTACACCAACAATACTGTCAAGTAGGTACACCAACAATACTGTCAAGTAGGTACACCATCAATACTGTCAAGTAGGTGCACCAACAATACTGTCAAGTAGGTGCACCAAGAATACTGTCAAGTAGGTGCACCAACAATACTTTCAAGTAGGTGCACCAAGAATACTGTCAAGTAGGTACACCAACAATACTGTCAAGTAGGTGCACCAACAATACTGTCAAGTAGGTACACCATCAATACTGTCAAGTAGGTGCACCAACAATACTGTCAAGTAGGTGCACCAACAATACTTTCAAGTAGGTGCACCAAGAATACTGTCAAGTAGGTGCACCAACAATACTGTCAAGTAGGTACACCAACAATACTGTCAAGTAGGTACACCATCAATACTGTCAAGTAGGTGCACCAAGAATACTGTCAAGTAGGTGCACCAAGAATACTTTCAAGTAGGTGCACCAAGAATACTGTCAAGTAGGTGCACCAACAATACTGTCAAGTAGGTGCACCAACAATACTGTCAAGTAGGTACACCATCAATACTGTCAAGTAGGTGCACCAAGAATACTGTCAAGTAGGTGCACCAACAATACTGTCAAGTAGGTACACCAACAATACTTTCAAGTAGGTACACCATCAATACTGTCAAGTAGGTACACCATCAATACCATCACAGATAGGTGCACCAAGAATACTGTCAAGTAGGTACACCATCAATACTGTCAAGTAGGTGCACCAACAATACTGTCAAGTAGGTGTATCAACAATACTTTCAAGTAGGTACACCAACAATACTGTCAAGTAGGTACACCAACAATACTGTCAAGTAGGTGCACCAAGAATACTGTGAAGTAGGTGCACCAAGAATACTGTCAAGTAGGTGCACCAAGAATACTGTCAAGTAGGTACACCAAGAATACTGTCAAGTAGGTGCACCAACAATACTGTCAAGTAGGTACACCAACAATACTGTCAAGTAGGTACACCAACAATACTGTCAAGTAGGTACACCATCAATACTGTCAAGTAGGTGCACCAACAATACTGTCAAGTAGGTGCACCAACAATACTGTCAAGTAGGTGCACCAACAATACTGTCAAGTAGGTGCACCAACAATACTTTCAAGTAGGTGCACCAACAATACTGTCAAGTAGGTGCACCAAGAATACTGTCAAGTAGGTGCACCAACAATACTGTCAAGTAGGTGCACCAACAATACTGTCAAGTAGGTGCACCAACAATACTTCCAAGTAGGTGCACCAACAATACTTTCAAGTAGGTGCACCAAGAATACTGTCAAGTAGGTACACCAAGAATACTGTCAAGTAGGTACACCAACAATACTGTCAAGTAGGTACACCAACAATACCATCACAGATAGGTGCACCAACAATACTGTCAAGTAGGTGCACCAACAATACTGTCAAGTAGGTACACCAACAATACTGTCAAGTAGGTACACCAACAATACCATCACAGATAGGTGCACCAACAATACTGTCAAGTAGGTACACCAACAATACCATCACAGATAGGTGCACCAACAATACTGTCAAGTAGGTACACCAACAATACCAGCACAGATAGGTGCACCATCAATACTGTCAAGTAGGTACACCAAAAATACTGTCAAGTAGGTGCACCAAGAATACTGTGAAGTAGGTACACCAAGAATACTGTGAAGTAGGTACACCAACAATACTGTCAAGTAGGTGCACCATCAATACTGTCAAGTAGGTACACCAACAATACTGTCAAGTAGGTACACCATCAATACTGTTAAGTAGGTACACCAACAATACTGTCAAGTAGGTACACCATCAATACTGTCAAGTAGGTACACCATCAATACTGTCAAGTAGGTACACCAACAATACTGTCAAGTAGGTACACCATCAATACTGTCAAGTAGGTGCACCAAGAATACTGTCAAGTAGGTGCACCAAGAATACTGTCAAGTAGGTGCACCAAGAATACTGTCAAGTAGGTACACCATCAATACTGTCAAGTGGGTACACCAACAATACTGTCAAGTAGGTACACCAACAATACTGTCAAGTAGGTACACCATCAATACTGTCAAGTAGGTGCACCAAGAATACTGTCAAGTAGGTGCACCAACAATACTGTCAAGTAGGTGCACCAAGAATACTGTCAAGTAGGTACACCATCAATACTGTCAAGTAGGTACACCAACAATACTGTCAAGTAGGTGCACCATCAATACTGTCAAGTAGGTGCACCAAGAATACTGTCAAGTAGGTGCACCAAGAATACTGTCAAGTAGGTACACCATCAATACTGTCAAGTAGGTGCACCATCAATACTGTCAAGTAGGTACGCCAACAATACTGTCAAGTAGGTACACCATCAATACTGTCAAATAGGAACACCAAGAATACTGTCAAGTAGGTACACCAAGAATACTGTCAAGTAGGTGCACCAACAATACCATCACAGATAGGTCTTTACTTGCTGTGAGTGCCCTAATCAGCGTGTCATCTCATAGATTAAACATGACTTTCTACCTTGTATTCCTGTTAACAACTAAATCTTACCTCCAGTATAGTAGGCAGTTTCCTAATTCAAACTCCATTACATGGAGTAAGCAGGACGTCATAGTTTGGTCAAGGAAGGATAATTAGAGACAAATCAATGAGCTAGGAGGACTTGGCAAGGGCATTCATTCATGAAGACAGGGAACCTGTAGTCCCGAGTTCCGAGTAGGTCATTCTATATATTACTCATTGATATGTGAGGAAAATGAAGAAAAACATCTGGAATATCTTCCTTACAGAGAAAGTCTACTGAAGGCATATTCCCGAGGCAAGAGCATCCACTAGCCTATTTGTCAAAGTCTAGTTTCCACCCTTGCCACATCAAGCCCACTTTCCTGTGCTAAATGTGATTGGAGTATTGCACATGTCGATAGTCCAATCAGAGAACATTTAATAAAATCAACATCCTTTTTCTGAAAACGTGGCTGCTGACATATAGCTTGTCGAGTATACGCTGAAGTTCTTTCAACAGTTAAGCAAAGACAAGTATTTTCTAAGTCTTTCCAAGTTTGAAATGATTTCGCCCAAGTACTGTGTTTGTAAGTGTAAGATGATGATGATGTCATTAAACACGACAGGTACATATTTGTTTGAAAATGTTTTACCGCTGCCTGTCTATGTTGACATGAATATTTCTTTTCCATCTTTTAAACCCATCAACGATTGCCTTTGTTCATCTGTCAGGGATGAACTTGTGAATGTTGTCGTTATCTGATCGTCCAGGTCGTCATCTTGGGTAGTCGCCATGTATGTGAAGCCATACAAGCTAGGAACAGCAATCTGGTTGGATATCCCATTACAAGGGACACAACTCATGATCTACCTGAGCTGGCGCCACAATAGTGCCAAGAAAAGTGGGCTTGATGTGGCAAGGGTAGAAACTAGGCTTTGATATAGGCAATTGGACACCCTTGCCTCAAATGTTTTTGATTACCTCAATTCACAACAATAAACCTCAAATATGATGAAATAATCTTTTGATGTTTCACGGTGTTCCAGAAATAACTGAGCATTGCACCAAAGCAGCTGTGAACCGAAGTGAAGAGACAGGTGAGAAGATGGACACAAGCTGATGATGCTGGGACTAGGGTACTGACGTCTCTGGACAACACATGGTCCTCACATCACTCCAGTGTCACTGATGCGATCGGTGATACCAACATGCGTCCTACATCCCCACTGATAGTGCCACTGATAGTGCTGTTGCTTGCTGGCCTCACAGCACAGTACCTACCAGGGAAATATACATGATATTAACCAGGAGGGCATTACATGAGATATATGTAGGTGTTCTGTGGTGATGTGAACAGACTTTTTTTTATTTCTTGGTTTACAGAGTTTTTCACAATAAAATAATGGTCGGTAGGTGGGGAATAAAATATTGCCATACAATCTCGGACTTCTGTCTAGACATTCCAGGATTTTCTTTTGTTCAGTTTTCAAATTTTGAATCGAGAACAAGTATAGTTTACGAAGAATAGTCTGGAATGGAAGTCACCTGTTTGAACCTAGTGCAGGAGGCGGTCGAGTAGCCTGGTGTTTAAAGCTTACGCTCCTCATGGCGAAGACCAAGGTTCGATTCCCGATATGGGTACCATGTGTGAAGCCCATTTGTGGTGTCCCCTGCCGTGATATTGCTGGAATATTGCTTAAAGCGGCATAAAACCAAACTCACTCACTCACTCACTCACTCACTGAACCTAGTGCTGTGAAGCTAGAGAATTCTGCTTTCTGATTAGCTAATGATAACTTCTTGTTAATCATTTCATTGGTTAGTCAGAGTTTGCGAAAGGACGTTCTGACGTGACCTGTAATGGGATGTCCTGAGATCTACATGTTGTGCAAAGTTCTGATTTTAATGATCAGGGGGAATCTGTAAACCATTGGAGAAGAATGTCTGGCCTCACTGTGATGTTTTGTAGTGCTGAAGTATCAGTGTGTATGCAAGTGTGCTAGACATGCAATCATATGTAGCAAATGTGAGGTGATGTTAAAAATTTAAGGTGCAAGATTGGTTATTTTTTAGTGAGCCTTTATTGGGAGAACAAATACCCAAATATTATATGAATTACTACAACATGAAGGGCAGAAAACTGATGGTGCAACTAGCACAGTTCTCAGCTTATACTGAGAAACGTTTATTTAAAATGTTTTTTTAGCAGATCAAAAGCTGCCACAGCTTGACAAGAGCAGAAAGACATGATGTAACTGCTTTTATAATACTCAGCTCCATCCCAGTGTGTCACGGTGATGTTGGTGTAAGGAGCTTTGGGAAATACATGTGCATGTCACAGTGAAGTCACACTGGGATGTATACTACACAAAAGAAGTACAAAACAGCGTATTCTTACATATTACTACAGGTATTCTGTCATGCCGTGACAGATTAACTATAGTAATATGAGAGAATCAAGTGTTCTTTACGTTGTTTTGTGTAGTATATTCAGGAGGATGCATGAGCTCCCCCTGGGAGGGACCTGGGTATCCGACACCTCCATGTTGATTACACTTTCTTATGGCCAGAGTCAGAATACATTCCAACTCTGATCTTGCACCTGTAAAGTATAATTAAAGTTGATTTAGTCATAGTCTCTATTGCTTTTTGTGGCAGCACATGTAGACTGTACAATTGTTGCAAGTAAAACACCCAATAACAGATACAAATATTTTGTACATAAGAATAAAAAAAAATGTTCATGATCTTGTGATTTGCGTCTTTTGTTGTTGAGTGTGAGTGAGTAAGGTTTTAAGCCGTGTTTAACAGTATTCCAGCAATATGATGGCAGGGAATACTGCAAATGGCCTACACACATTGTATCCATGTGGGGAATCGAACATGGGTTTTCTGCATGACGAGCTAACACTTTAACCTTGGTGAGGGAAATACCCCTTTGATGATTTATCAACTCACTCACAGAGGCTGTCTTGATGTGTGTGAGAAATAACAGACTAATACTGACAGCATGAACTGCAACAGATAAAATACCAAATAAGAAGTAATTAATAATTTTTTTATTCAAGGAGATCAAATCTGGCAAAAAATTGATACAAAGTTACAAACATGAATAATTCAATTGCAGTTAGTGTTAAAGGTTGAAATTTCATTAAATTCATGATTCTCTACCTCAAATTGAAGACAATTGTTGACATCACTATTCGGGCATTCAGTTAAATTTGCAAAACTATTGAAAAGGAAAGCAAGAAAAACAGCCATCCTATTCCTATTTAAGAAAGGGGTGTATCAGAAATAATTTGAAATTATGTGTATCAAACAGATCTTCATTATGAATATGATCACTTGAAATAAAAATAACCCGGATGTGCTGTTAAATGCAAACAAAAACAGAATTACTCGAGGTAAATAAAGTGTCCAGGAAGCGTTTATGTATCGGGGACAAGATGGGCAAACGTCTCCCCCCACATCTTCAGCTTGTCCTCCTGCTTCTTCCTCTCGGCTGCAGCAGCATCAACACTCTCCTTTCTCTCTGCACTTTCATGGCGCCGCGTGTTGCCAAGGCCACTGGCCAGTTTGCCCGATGGCGTGAAGCGCATCTGCTTCACCTCCTGCACAGTCTGGTTCTCCCTGGTGTTGATGATCCGTGCCATGGCTTGTTCCTGAGGGATGGTCAGAATGGTGGTGATGGGACCGCGCTTGAACCTCCGCATCGCTGTGACCACTCGGACAGCCATTTTGAATTTGTTCAGAGCATTTGCAGCCTTCTTGAACCTGGATAAACCACCGCCCAAGCCTGGTTTCTTGGTCATATCACCTCCAGATTTAGCTTTTCTAGTGTTTCCAGTTTCAGAGATGGGTTCTAAGGTCTGCAACGTGGCCTTACAAGGAGGGAGCACATGGCCTGTTTCTGAAGACAATGATACATCAGTTTGATAAATTGACAGGGGTGGATAGTGTCTTGTGGGGATAAATGTGTGTGGATTGATCAAGTAAGGACATTTGATCAGTTTCAAAGATGTGATGGACCAGCAATATATTGAAGGGGGAGGGTGGTGGTGATGGGGGGTGTCACAGATTTTTGATGCCCTAATGAACTTAAAAATAATGACACTCCCCTAATGCTTGTCTTATCATTAAATCACCCTCCCCTTTTTCTTGTACATTTTTTCATGCCCCTCCCAAAATATGTGTACCATTTTTAATGACCTTCCCCTAGAGACTACTATATTTTGGTGACCCTCCCCTTATACCCTCTGACCCCGCCCCCAACCCCATATAATAGATGAACGGTCCCCAACTTGGCTTCTTGACATAAACTCCCTCTTAGGTAAGCATTTCACCCTAAGGTATTGTTATAGATATGCATGAAAATGGTAAATAACTTATTTTACATCGGTTAATGTAGTTTTTGAAAAAAGTTGTCAGAGAATACTTATTAGAATTTTTGTCATGGTTCACAATGAAAACTTCTATTACAGGAAATAGCAAATAAAGCCAGTACAGCGAAGTCCTAAATGGTGCTCCATTAAGATTGTCCTCACAGGACACACAAATGATAAGCGAGGCCCTGAAAACAGTAACACAAGCAAGCAGCATTACAATGTACATAATATACTGTGCAAAATAAGTTGGGGATCAGGAATATTTTACAGGATATTTTCATGAACTGTGTGCTCAGTCTTCACAACAAATACATATCCCCAAAATGATTCTTGATCCCCAACTTTTTTTTATCAGTAAGGAGGGGATAAGTTCTTCAATGATAGGGATACAATAAACTACGGTTATAACGAACACGCTTATAACGAACTGACTGATATAACGAACTTACTTTTTTGGTCCCGACTATTTGCTGTAGCTATGCTGTATATATGCTTATAACGAACTACGGTTATAACGAACTAAAATTAGGAGTCCCTTTGAGTTCGTTATAACCGTACTTTACTGTAGTTTCTACAGCATTGATATAATGATGTGATTGTTTCTCAGTAGATTTAAACCTTGTGGTAGAAACACCTGTAACTGTGTCATAGAGGGAGCTGACAGCTGCTTGCTCCATCCTGATCTGGAATGATTGACTATGTACTTGCTGTGTAATGGATTACAGAAAAGTATGACCTGGCACAGGGAGCAGATACCACAACGGTTTCTTGTAACAAGTGAAAGCAACTATGTTTTGTTTATTTGTTTGTTGTTTAATGCTGCACTCAGCAATATTCCAGCTAAATGACATTGGTCTGTAAATAATGGAGTCTGGACCAGACAATCCAGTGATTGACATCATGAGCATCAATCCACACAATTTGGATACATGCTTCAACCAAGTCAGCGAGCATGACCACCCGATCCCGTTAGTCGCCTCTAACGACAAGCAAAGTTACAAGTAACTATGTACACTGACCCTGATGCCAACTGAGCTGGCCACTGATTCGTCGACCAGCAGGTCCCATCACGCCGAGGAGCATCCCAGTAGACGAGGCCTTATGGGCGGGGACAACATCCCTCAGGTTGATGCTGCTGGCCCCAGTACTGCAACACCAGCCAATATGGGAGTAGTAGAAGTAATGTCAGCAATATCTTGGCCATACAGGGACAAACAGTACAAGTGGTGTAGGAACTATTGAAGGTGTATTACCTGGTTAACTGAGTGAGTGTATGGTGGTACACAGCTTCTAGCAATATTCCAGCAATATCACAGCAGAGGACACTAGAAATGGGCTTCACCATGTGTGGAATGGTTAAACTGAACAGAAATAAAAAAATCCTGTTTGTCCAGACACACTTCCTTCTGGACACCTACTCTTAGGAATGTATATACGGTGCAACCTTTTTAGTCTGGATTCTTGTTAATCTGGAAACCTTGTCTTGTAGACAATTACTGTTGGAAATGTCTGCATATGTGTAAAATCATTATACAGCACCAATGATTTGCCCGGAGAATTGTTCATCTGGAGTTTCACTATCTGTATCTAAAACACTTGGTGTCAGAGCAGTTCAGTTAACATTTAAGACCTGCAACACTTCGGTCTTCTCTCCCACCTTAAGTGACACATGGTGATGTAACTGGAATACAGAAAGCGGAGTTGAACCCAAAACACTCACTCACTCAATAATAAAGCTGAGTAGACCCTGGAAGTTGTGTATGTGTGTATAGAGACACGTTCGGACTAGCTTACCTGTGGTTGACGGCCACTGATCGGAGGATGTCGGTGACCATGGTTGTCTTGGCGGGCTTGGAGTTCTGGCCACAGGAGAAGCCATGCTCCGCAGTGGGATTCAGGCCCATCAGCGGCGCCCTGGAGGTCACTGGGGAGGCAAACGTGGCCGTGGAAGAATATTTACATGCTCATGTCATTGCCAGGAGAACGTACCAAGCAGATGACAAGGATGGTTTGTTTTGTTTGTTAATTGTTTAACACCGCACTCAGCTATATTCCAGCTATATGACGGCAGGCGGTCTGTAAATAATCGAGTTTGGACCAGACAATCCATTGATTGACATCATGAGCATCGGTCCCTGCAATGGGGATATGATGACATGCATCAACCGAGTCAGCGAGCCTGACTACCTGATACCGTTAGTCGCCTCTTACGACAAGCATAGTCGCCTTTTACAGCAAGCATGGGTTGCTGAAGACCTATTCTGACCTGGAGCTTCACGGGTGGACAAGGATGGTAAGAGACAAGTCATTTAGTATAGGATTGGGTCGGCTTGGCTTTAGCACAGGTTATTTAGGTCATGGTTTCAGGGCTCTAAAATACAAATTTATCATTGTTTTGCTATTTTACAGCTATTTTTTCAGCTATGTATATGAAATGGGTTATTATTCCTATCAGCTATGGGCTCGGGGCTATGGCTACAGGCATGGCTACGGGACATCAGCTATGAGGTATGGGTGATAAATCAGGTGGGGCAATAACCCATGATGATGCCCATATCTTCCCTGTTGCTGACTGTCTGGCTCTGCAGTCATTGGGTCAACTGATCATCCTTTGTATCCCCTTGTAGCTCACCTGCAAACACAGGGATATAGGGCGTAGGCTGGAGCCCTGCAGGGTCCCCTCCTTGGAGATACATCAGTGGCTCATGACTCATGGTGCTGTCACTGATATTGATAATATTCTACTTCTTGACAATTTGGCATTCCACTCACCTGCTTTGACAGAGAGTACAGACATAGACTGCTCAGCCTTGTTGAACAGTGGCTTACACATCCACACACTCCTCCTGATGCATGGGATGTAGATGCGGCTACTGACGTTTGTGTCCAGGATCTGGCGAATCAGTTCTCGGCCGTCTGTAAATCATTGGACAGACTGGTTTGGAACTGGATTGCTGGACATTGTTTCATTCAGTTGTTTGATAATTCAGTGTGACTTTTCAAGAAATGTGAGTGAGTGAGTATTGTTTTACGCTGCTTTTAACAATATTCCAGCATTATCACGACGGGGGACACCAGAAATGGGCTCCACACATTGTAACCATGTGGAGAATCGAACCTGGGTCTTCAGCATGACGAGTGAAAGCTTTGACCACCAGGCTACCCCACTGCCCCCTACCCCCTACCCCCCCCCCCCAATTAAATGTGGAGTCCACTGCATATTCTACCTGTCTCTATGGGTGAGTGAGTGAGTGAGTGAGTGGGCAGATAGTTGCCTCTCACTATAAAGCATTACAGCTTATTCTTTTAAGGATCATATTCAAAATTCAAAATATATATAAATCTATATAAATTATATAATTTCAAACATCGAAAAACTGAGGGAAAATAAAGAAAGGTAACTGTGTCATTTTTAGGAGCATTGCTATCATCTAAAGTTGTGCTGGGGTAGGATTTAACAACTTACCTTTAGACACCTGCTTGTAGAACTTCAGTTTCTTGTCCATGGAACCCCTGAGTATGTCGACATCGGTGTCGTTAAACGGCAGCTTCCCATTCAACATCCCGTAGAGGCAAACACCTGAAGTGATGACGTAGCGCTAATCATGAATGGATACCTATGAATATGAAAGTACCGAAAACCCTGACAATATGGAGTCCAAACTTGGGTTAACACCTTGTTTGATAGGCATTACTTAGAAGTTGACGGGTGACAAGGTAGACACAATTTTATGGATAACATTTGCTTAGCAACGGTATAAGGATCTATATCTATACCGAAACGTCGCTTTTTACAGTATTAAAGAAGTTGTTATCCATAAAATTGTGTCTACCTTGGGTTAACACCTCAATGTAATATATTACAAGACGTTTCCAGGAATGTCGAGAGGAGAGTATTAAATAAAATGTTGCAGTTATTAGAATTTCATAATTGGAATGAGTGTCTTGGGTCAGTGCCACTGTGAACAATATTTGAACACTGAACAAGTTATAAATAAACATCAATGAACAAACAATACGCGACAAACCAAAGGACTGACCACAACTCCAGATGTCAACCATTCCACCATCATACATTTCCCCTTCTAGAATCTCAGGGGCGGCGTACGCATAGGACCCACAGAAGGTCGCCATCAGCTCCCTGTAGGGGTTCAGTCGGGCAAACCCAAAATCTGAAATACATAGAATGTTGTGTCCTTTGATAACCTTCACCTAACAGATAACACCATACTCACACATACGTTTGTCATTAGTTATCATCAAGATTCCTCTATTACCCTTTGTGCTATAAAGGAACTATTCGTCAATAATTGCACGTTTATTAAACATTACGTTACATTAAGCGTGGTTTTTCACCTGCATTTAACGTACCATTTAGACTACCTATTGACTAGATGTAGATAGTCTCCGGCAGGAAAACCTGATACTGTCGCATGTCTAAATGCGTTCACTTGTACATGTTTGTCAAAAGTAAATATATTTTTCACGTGCAAATCTGCATGCACGTGGAAATGATACGTATGTCAGTATCACAGCAGTAATGACTCCTGAATTATGTTGGCTTTGGGTGGAGGCGGTCTGTACATCATCGATCTGGACCAGAAAACCCAGTGATTGATATTGTGAGCAATGACCCTCGTCGTCTGTAGAATGACACGATGTAAACCAAGTCACCACGGAATACGTTAATAATACGTTGGTACAGACACGTGGTGTGTTATGGGATCACTGAATACGTTAATAATACGTTGGTACAGACACGTGGTGTATTATGGGATCACTGAATACGTTAACTATAAACAGTGCAGACACGTGGTGTATTATGGGAATGTATACCAGTGAGTCTGATGTTGTACTGGTCGTCCAGCAGGATGTTGTCCAGCTTGATGTCCCGGTGGTACACGGAGTGCCCGTGCAGGTAGCTGACCACGTCCAGCAACTGGTGGAAGACACGCCTGCCGTCCGCCTCGCTCAGGCTCCCCACCTGGTTCACGTAGTCCAACAGGTCGCCATTGGACAGGTATTCCATCACAAGGTACATGTTGCTGCGGCTCTCGTACACCTCGTGAAGGACCAGCTTGGAACATAGAAATACATACGTGAACACCCACACATTTTGGTTGGAGGTAGAGCCGAAGCTTGAAGGAAAAGTTGGGTTACCATAGCATGGACCCAGTGAAATGGTGCACTTGTCAATGGCAAGGCACAAGTTGTTTTATATCATTGTTTCCACCTGTCATTATTGGCAGCTCGGACGTCGCAATGTGTTAATACAATAATCTATGTTCAATATGGTGTGAGTATATGATTATTTGTTATTTAACGCAGCTCTCAGCAATATTCCACATAACTGGGATACGATAACATGCATGAACTAAGTCAGCGAGCCTGACCACCCGATTCCTTTAGTCGCCTCTTACGACAAGCAGTGGTTGCTATCACGAGTCTTCTCGTATGAGTAAATAACATTCTCAGGGGGTATCTCCACTGTTCACGCAGACTAACAGGCAAAGATAGACGGTCTTTACCAGTTCGCTAAAATACGTACACATAAATCTCCAGTCAGTTAAACTCAGTTTGTATTCACCAGTCACTCACCAGAGAAGTATGCCGAAGTTTCTGCAGCAGCGCAATTTCCCGAGGAAGGAACTTCTCCTTGGCTTCTTTTGGAATTTTGTTCTTCTGTATAATTTTTACAGCAAGATTTTCATTTTTCCTTCTACAGTACGCCCTTTTAACCTTGGCGTAAGCTCCCTCTCCGATTGTCTCGTGCATTGTGTATCCAAACCGCTCCAAAGCTAACCTGTAATCTTTGGATGGTAAAATAATGCCATCTTTACTTTTCATAGACAGTTCTTGATTAATTTCCACGATTTTCGTCTTATAGGTTTCTTCCATGCCTTCTGCCATTGCTGACATAGTTTCAGCTTTGCCGATGTGCATTTGTGACGAAACGCGTCTGTGACGTCATATCATTATGACGTCATGTTAAACACTGGTGAGTTTCTCCTCCACTCTCCTACCCAGAGTTCCATGCGGCCGGCAGCCAGCTAGCATAGTACCTTAGACTGGTTCCCGTTCGTTCCTGCATACTTTCTCAATGAAAGGTAACCATTCTTTGACATTTGTTTATGAAAATATGTAGACTTGATTGGAAAGCGGAACAAGTGCAGCGACACCAAGCGGAGGATCCGGGAACCAGTCTACATAGTACCTCTGCCACAGGCCAGCGCCATGTGACGATTCGTCACATCTTTCACAGTCCATTCAAGATATTGCATATGCTTTTCATCCGTTTCATGTTTGACAAGTCTACACATTTTCATAAACAAATGTCAAAGAATGGTTACCTTTCATTGAGAAAGTATGCAAATACGTAAAAATCTACTTGTTTTTGCGTAGTTATCCTATGTTTACAATGGTTGTACGGCTCCACGTGCTGTCATCGAAGCCCAACGGAGAGCTAGCGACACGGTCACTTTGATGCATAAATATATATTGTCATGCAACTCATTGTCGCAGTTGTAGTAGCATATCTATATAGTTATGCAAAACAATATGTAAAGCGCCCCCAAATACTTGCTTTAGTTCGTTCTATACTGATTTCTGAAAAAGCGCGTTTGTCTACAAACAAGAGAAAAGTCCGGCCACGTGATATGCAAATTAGCCTGTGGCAGTGGTGTTATGCTGAGTCACCACTGCGACGGAGTGTGTTTCTCCTCGGCATATTTTTTGTTCCTCTATTAGACGCCGGTCCCCCAATACACGTCACGCTCTAATTGATGCCGTGTCATACGCCCTGTCCTAAAAATAGAAGTCGGGCCTCTATTAGACGCCGGGTGATTAATGATGACCGTTTCCGGCAAATGTTCAATTTGTATGACCGTAACATTTGGGATTTGGTAAGATAGTGAGTGGAGTAAGGTAGCCACCGTGTCAGCATTAAACAGAATAGACGTGCCTCTAATAAACGTCGGCCTCTAGTAGACGCCGGGATATGATTGCGCGAAAATTAATCGATGACAAAGGGTCTTATAGAGAAAATACTGTGTAAACTTTTTATATTATTTCCACATCCGTCATAGAGCGACATTGTCCTTGGACTAATAATTCTGGGCAAAACTATTGATGGCGATGTATCACAGCACTCACTAGAACTAATAAGTAATATCTCAACCGGCTGTTTACCATGTTGCGCCTTAGGATTTTTTCTCTTTACGATTCTTTCTTTTTGTTGTTACCCTGTCTGACGCTCGACATTAAGGAGTCGGTTAACTGTGTCTGAGTGTGATATTCGTGTTAAACTGCGTCATTGTTTCTCAGTGGGCTAGCACTATAAAATCGACATTTCTCCGGACTGGCACAAGCACACACACGCACGTACGCACGCACGCACACGTGTGCATGCACGTCGTTTTATGAGTACAATAATCTTCAACGCATTAGATAAAGCCTGGAAATAAAATAATAGAAAGCAGAAAGTCATACTGATGCCCCTAGCACAAAGTTCCCCAAGTTCAAATGGTGGCATTTTCAAAATGGCCGCCATTATTTTAAAAAATGATATGCAATTTTGTAGTTTTACATTCATGATATCATGCAATATATCAAATGACAGTTCTGTATACGCTTTCAAACAATAGTTGATTCAACCTTGTGCTATAACTAGGATTTGTTTAATGAGCATTTTAAGAATTATTTAACAAGTTTTTTAGCGGAATAGTCGGTATAGTCAGGTCGGATAATGACAAATACAAAGGTATTTCTGAATTTGCAATGCTTGCATATAATCGCAAAACTGGTAAACAGTAGAAAACATCCCTTTGTGTCAATACAGGAGTTTTCACACTTTCGTACATTATAACAGGATAGCAAAGAAATATTACATTCAATCTCCTGGTGGAGTCGGAAGGATATTAGGTCCCAGGGAATTATGCCCAGTGGCAATATATTGTCCATGAGCTGCTGCAGGGTAGTTGACGGGGGTCGAGGTATGTGACGCGGCCTTGTATCTATGTGTCGATCAAGATCGTTTGTTTCACTAATACTGTTTGCAATATCTGTCTACATCAATCTCTCGACAATTGGGTGATGTTCTGAGTCTCAGGGGGTAGACGTTCCAGCGTCTGTGCGGCACACTTGTCACAGATGTGATATCGTGTGATCTTGAGAGTGATCTAGTGAATTGTAGCTGGTGTCTTTGTACGAGCCCTCACAGGTCATGGTACTTGGCATGTTGTGGGTGGTATTGCATGTGTCCCCCGTCTGAGGCAGTCCAGGCCCTTTCCCACGATCCACCCAAAGGATCACAACAGCTGCAGCTGCGGGTCAGTACGGTAACGTTCCAGTGAAAGTATACAAAAAACCCCAACCACATCAAGATTCAAGTCTGTCACGTTTGGGACTCTTGAACTTTCAATGTCAAATGCACCATCCATAAAATAGCAAAATGCTTGGATAGTTTCTGCTTAGCAAGTTTCTCACTTGATATACCCGTGTCACAACGTCCATTATGGAGCGGCTTTTAGCAGTGTCCATTCGGCTTTGTTTTGCACAAACGTTCGCTGAAAAGTATGCACTTCGTGTTTGCCACAACTAAGCAAGATGGCTTCTCTTACTCATGTCGTATATGGGTGAGTGAGTGAGTGAGTGAGTATGGTTTTACGCCGCTTTAAGCAATATTCCAGCAATATCACGGCGGGGGACACCAGAAATGGGCTTCACACATTGTACCCATGTCGGGAATCGATCCCGGGTCTTCGGCGTGACGAGCGAACACTTTAACCACTAGGCTACCCGACCTCCCCTGCCTTATATGGGATCCACTGGACATGTTATGAGTGGCAGTGGCTTAGAAGATCAGTGGACAACTGTGTACACTGTAATGCATATCATGATAGGTCATGCATATGCTCGTGCACTCTGTGGTCGTCTGCTACCAACAGCAGCCATCATCTCCACAAACATCTGAGCGCCCCAGTGGGGTGGAACTCGCTCGTCTCGTGGATGTACACGACCACTGTTGAATGCCGACTGTAGGGAACTGAGTATGTGGTAAATGAGAAATATGTCCAATTGCACACAATTATTATGGAGAATCTGATGGAGATTGCCACGAAACAAAGTAGAACAGGTAATATTTGAATCAAGTGTCCTTCATTCAACGTTTCATCCGAGCAGAACACACTGAGGTTTGGAATTTACAGTCAGTCAGTCAGTCAGCCAGTCAGTCACTCAGTCACTCAGTCAGTCAGTCAGTCAGTCACTCAGTCAGTCAATGAAATGATTCCCTTTTTTCATGTGGAAGGCCATCTTGATTATGCAAAATCTGCCCCCCTCTACCTTGACGAAATAAAAGATTTTATTAATATCACGCCTCCCGAGCAGCACCAGAACTTCACGGAGAGAGGTTACTGTACACAGGACAGAGGCATTCTGGAGTGGACACGTCAGTGAGCAGGCAGTAGAACAAGACTTAAAGTGATTGTTGAAGATCTCTGTAGGTACGGTCGTTGGTCGAGTGAGTGAGTATGGTTTTACGCCGCGTTTAGCTTATTCCAGCAATATCACGGCGGAGGACTCAAGAAATGGGCTTCACACATTGTACCATGTGTGGAATGGTTAAACTGCACAGAAATAAATTTCGATTATGTCTATTTAACCATCACTCATTCCTGTAACAGTTTGTGGATGGGTAATTTTGTGTAAAAAGAAATTGGTTCAATGAAGACTGGGGTAAGAAATGAATTTGCAACCACATGACCCCTACCATGTTTGAAATGTAAATTTGTGCCGAAAGAAAGCAAATTTATTGACACCCTTCAGCAGTTGTGTATAATGACTTTGTGATTTTTATTTTTTAAAGCCTTTTAAATACAATTTTATTAAAAAAACAAAAAACATGTAGAAGTATTCTTTAAGTGCTGACTCAGCGTAAGTACAGTTCATTATTTTAATATAATATCGCTAAGTTAAGATATTTTTATTTGAAAATCCAACAAATGATAAAATCCACTGAGAGGTGTAGTTTTGTTCTGCTCCCAGTTTAATACAGTACACAATCACTTCTATGCGGGATTCTAAGGACGAATTTAATTCCCAGACAGCGCCGTATAATTCTCTATCACTTTTTTTTTATGTCGTATGATTTTATATTGTAATGATAACAAAATATGTAAGGTTTCCGTATTTATATTTGTGTTGGAACACTTTGGTTACTCGTGAACAACATAAAACGAACAGATGTTATGCTACACAGCAAATTCTCACAAGGATAGCTAAGATACAATGGCCTTGTTTGAAGCATAGTGGAGTTATGCCCCCTTTTCTTTGTGCGTGTGAATACTTCTCTGTCGTCCTATGAGGGGGGCACCGGTTGCCAAGTCGTCTAAGGCGCCGCTGTGCAGAATTGCGTCCCTTGGGCACGCCAGAAACCTATGGTTGTGGGTTCGAATCCCGGTTCGCTCCGATTATGTTTCTAGGTTTATTTGCACCATACCCGTGCTCGTGGGTTTCATCGAAGTGGTTAACGTCTGAGACCTGCATCACTTCGGGCTTTCCTCCCACATTAAGCTGACACGCCGTGAACTTGAATACTGTTAAAGCGGCGTTAAACCCAACTCATTCACTCACTCACACACTCACTCACTCACTGTTGTCTTATGACGTCATTGTTAAAATCGATTTCTGTCATTTGTAGTAAGTTATTTTTCGTATCGAATATTTAGCGTTATACAGAAGATTACAAATCCATTTGATATATAATTATGTCTTTCAGATATTAGACAGTATTTTGTTCCCTTTCAGTTTGCTTGAAAATCGTGACACAGTATTTTATCGGTGTACGATTTAAAGTCGAACATTTGCTGTTTTTGGCGCAAATTGCTTTTTTTGACGGTGTCTATTTTTTCAAACCAATCGTATTTTCACAATTAATTTTACACATTCGGATAGAAAATGTAATAC